CGGAGGTATGGCGGATTTTCTCTATGCCTGTTATATTGCTTATGTCTGGGAGGTGAGTACTGAGGACGATGATGGTATCCTCGGTTATAATTGTCCTCAATGTTGTTGTAACCTTGATGTGGTTCGTGACAAGGTTTATATTCATCTCTTCGAGGACTTCTTCAGTTCCAATTAGGTCCCAGGCGGTCGTGCACGTTAGTTTGCCTTGGAGGGTTCCATTCTTCTTGTTCAATGACCTCAATACTCGGGGAATCGTGATACTCTTGAGCACTTTTACGTCGGTATGTCGCGTCAAATTCTTCGAGGGCCATTTCGAATGCTGGGTATTTTTCTTTTGAAAGCGTTCCAGAATATGGTGTCCCAAGTGGCGTTTGAGCGATCTTCGTAGAGGTCTTCATACCCCTCGACTTCTTGGTAATCCTCGTTTTCTTGGACCTTCCGCTTCCCTCGTTTCTTCTCAAGAAGGGCTAGAGTTCTACGAGCTTCTTTTTCGTAGATCAAATCACCCAACTCTTGTTCCGTGGGATTGATATGCTTATATTTTACCTATTTATTATATCCCTAATTTGTGATTTTTTGCAATATATTTTGAGTACAAATATGCTATTTATATGATTTTATCTTTATTTGTAGGTTTTATACTCAAATGAAAGAATTATTGAGGTTTTGGACTAAATTGAAAAGAAAAAGCAACTCAAAGGGAGAATTGAAGATTTGTTAAATTGACAAGGAAGAAATTGAAGCACTTGAAGAGTTGGAGGAGTTTTAATTTAAATTGGCTTGGAAAAAAATAACTTTCTTATTTATGAAGAAATAGGATTTGAGGAAAGCCTATAAAAAGAGGACTACGGTTTTATTTTTGGGAGAGTCTTAACCAAAAAAAAAAAACTCCACCGCCGAGACCACACCACCACCATCACCTCTCCCCATCTCCTTACACCCGCAGCCCTCCACCAACTCCAGCACCCCATCTCCATGCACACCACCATCTCATCCCATCATCATCACATTAATCATCATCATCAACCCTTCCTGCCCACACAGCTCCACCGAAGCCCCCCAAACTTTCCACGCAAAGCACCCACCTTCCATCAAGACCTCACGCCTCCATCACCATTGACGCCTCAACATCGTTACTCCATCACACACATCATCGGAGGAGGAGGAAGCAAGCAACTTCAATCTCAACTTTTGGCATATTTCTCCCGGGTTTCATTGTTTTATTTATTTTTGAGATGATGTGTAGCTAAATTATTTAATCTAGGGTTTTGGATGTAGCCGCCGTACTATTTAATTTAATTTAATTCATGATTGTGATTTTTTTATTAGTTGATATTTAATATTCTTGTTTTTATTCCATGTGAGTATTTGATCACCACTTGCATGCTTTAAAGGTGTTTAACTAAAGGAACGACGGTTGAAGGTTAGCACTAGTTCGTGAAAATATTAAACTTAGATAGTGGGCCACAAAAGTAGGAACACCGTCTTTGTAGATATAGATTCTAGGATTCTTAATGTACTCTAATTAAATCCTATAGTCACGACAGTAGTCATAGGGTTAGTTTGAGTAAGAGAATTATATCACGATAGTGAATAGTTCTTAAATAGGTGAATCGTTCTGAGATTAATGAAAGTCGAAAGTCACATATCTATAGATAAAATTGAACTGAATAGTCAGTTGGTGAACCCTTTGCCCTAGGTTTTTCTTTTACTTATTTATATCTTTAAATAATTACAATTGTTAGTTTTATGTTTAGAATAGTTTAAAATTGATAAATTGTTAATCTAAATAATAATAAGAAATGATTTTAACCGGTACTTGGTAACCTTCTCTGTGGGATCAACCCTACTTTCTGCTTTACTGCTAGTAATTGTATTAAGTAGGTAATTAATTATTTGACTAGTGTGACGACGGCTTGTCAAATTTGGCGCCGTTTTCGGGGAAGGCATAACTAATATCAAAACTAGATTATTTCTTTTATTAGTTTAGATTTGTATATAGTTTCCTTTGTTTTATTAATTTGTTATGTTTATTTTTATTTTTATTTTTATTCTCTTTTCTTTCTTGGGTCAATATTTTTGTAGGATATTTGAGCTATTATGGGGAATTTTAACTATGGATATGGAGATGCTCCGTATTATAGTTATAATTCTGAATATGGAGACTATCCTATATATCAAGAAGATCTGTACTCTTGGAACAATTCGACTTATGATCCTTACTATGGTTGTGATTATCAAGGGTATTCATTTGATGCTGGGTACAATTCTGGTTTTGAGAGCGCTTACATGACTCCTAAGATGTTGTCATGTTTGGAGAGAATTGATAAATTGCTGGATGACATCGAGAAGAAAAATGCTTCATATTTCTTTCAAGAGGATTGTTACCACTCACATGCATCAGTATATCAACCACCACCCCCTCAACCCACTCTAAGAGAGTTAGCAGCTCGTCAACCTACTCTAAGAGAGTTAGTAGCTCGTCAACCTACTCTGAGAGAGCTAGCAGCCTTACACTCATCACCTTCTCAACCCACTCTACGAGAGTTAGCAGCCTTACAGTCATCACCTTGTCAACCCACTTTGAGACAGTTAGGATCTTCGTATCAGTAGCCACCTGCTCAACCTCAACTTACTGTTAGAGAGGCAGGTCTTCGAGATTTTCAAAGTGAAAAAGGCCAACAACTTATCGAAGAGGTCAATCAATATAGGTTGAGTGTGCCGGAATATGATCCTATAGGAAATTTGCTTAAATTGAATAAGAATGAGAAGATGTCTGAAGATGATTCATTGGTCCAGTCTCCCCAGCCACCATCTCAAACTGAGCTTAAATGTGAAGAATTAGAAGAGACCGAAGAGATTACAAGTCTAGATATTACAAGTTCTCATGATTCTTCTAGTATATACATAGTAGTTAAGCATGATTCGATCATTCTTAGAGTTGGTGATAAGGATGTGGATCAAGTTGATTTTGATGAGAGTAACATTCCTATAGTTTCAAAAGAAGGGTTTGAAGTAGACACATGTGGTGAGGTTGTCCCTAGTATAAGAGATTTTGAGGATGATGCGAAAAATGGTTCAATGAAAGACCAAGAAGAGGATCAATGGTACAAGATTGAATTTGAGAAAGAGGATATAGTGGTCTTAGAGTATAAGTTTATATTTTCTCATGGAAAGGAGAACCACTACAAGAGATTCATTGTTGCTGCTGAACATGGTTTCTTCTGGTATCGAGATGGGTACTCTGGCAGATCAGTCCTGGAGTCCGGCTAAAGACTATAAAACAACGCTTATTGGGAGGCAACCCAACATTTTATTTTGCTTTATTTTATTTTATTTTTCATGAATAAGTGATGGTTAAGTTTTTTGTTCCTGATTATCTGGAGATCTTTGATTTCTGGATTTTTGTGGTTTTTCTTAATCATCTGTTTTTTTAGGTTTGTTTTTTTCTAATTTATTTTAGTTTGCAATTAGGTTTGTTGGAAGGGTGAAACTCTGGTGTCCAGTGGTGCTGAAAATGAAACATCCAAAATTCTGAAGAAGTTGGTCGTATGCTTGAATAGCAGTTGCAACAGTTTATTCAACAATTCCAGTCCTCTGTTTTGCATTCCCAAGGTTGTGTCATTTCTTTTCTTTCTTTTTGTTTATGTCTTTTCTTTTCTTTTCACTTGGTTGTCTTGTCTTTTGTGTTTTATACATTGAGGGCAATGTATGCTTTAAGTGTGGGGGAGAGGAATATTTGTGTTTTGTGTTTATCTTTCTTAAATAAAACAAAAACCCATAAAAATTGAAAAAATTGAAAAATCCAAAAAGGCCTAGGATGAGGATGGTTTAATTATCTATAACATGTAAGAACTAGACTATTTTGATATGTATTTCTTAACTTGTGTAATTCTATATGTTGCTTTGAATAACCTGCTTTATATGCACTTAGTCGTAACTGTGGGATAAGCCTAAAGTGAGACATAGTTGCATGAGTTTGATGTAGATATGCCATGAAAAGTTGTTTGATTCACTCATATTTATATGATTTGTATGTGGAACCCATCATGTTGTAAAGGAAAAACAAGGTATTAACCCGATATCAGCCTTAAAAACCTTATTACTTTGACACTTTGTGTTAAGTAAGTTTGGGAGTGGAAAAATGCTCTGGGTAGTGGCCTGAGTTGGAAAGCGTCCTGAAGAAAAGCCGCATGGACCGAAGAATGGGTTACAAGGGGGAATATGTTGTCTGTGAGATAAGTCCTTCTACTTCATAGTATGTTTGGCGGTCCATTGCATTGAAATATGGTATGAAATGTTGTGAATCTGTGTTAAAGTGTTAATATATGACATATTTGCAGCAGAGCTTTTGTAGGGAGCCATATTTGTTGAGGTTCAGTTTATTGTTTGCGGAATTAACAGATGAAATTGTGCCCGTGGCTGTGAATACACGTGAAAATGTTAAATGGCACAACTGCAAGTGGATTTAAGTAGTTAGATCAAATTTTCTTTGCCATAAATCCTAGACCTTGTTATAGTATTGAGGTCCTAGGTAAGCTGCCCAGGGAGTTGACTGTTTCTGGTGGGAAATCGAGCCATGAAGTGGCTAATTACATAGAGAGGAAACTGGCAGATGCATTGGGTTTTGAGTGCACTAATTTGACAAGAGGAGACAAGTATTTGATGCTGGCCGGGAATGAAGGAATTGTCAATGATGATGATATTCCTAGAAATGTTTTCCAATGGAAATTAAACATGTAGATTATGAGCGCTAGTCTTTGGTATGGTGAAATTATGTTTGTAAAAATCTGTTTTCCATTTTACTTCAATTTGTGGGTTCATTATGATGGAAATAATATTGGAGTACTACATATACTCAAAAACTTGAGATTAAGGCAGACCACAAAAGAGTGAATGATTTTAAGACCGCGTCTTCCAATATAATACAAAAAAGTATTCTTACAAAAGAATCATATATTCTATCTCGCGATTCATGTAATTGAACAAACAACAATAGCTTAGCAAATTAGCTTGGCCCCATAATTCCCTCGAGAGAATTGGTACTTGGGACAAAAGTTGGCAACCACCGGAATCCCCTCGGAAATCTTATAAAAAATCCGGCCATTCAACCCTTCTCTTGCTCTTGTCACAGTCTTGACGTCTTCGTACTCCACAAAAACCATTCCGACTCTGGCTTTTGCCAAAACTCGATCGTCGTAGGGATTACCAATAAGACGGGGAATCACTAGGTTAACCAAATCACCGAATTCTCCACACTTTGAGATCACTACATCCATTACATGGTCATAATCTTCATCACATTCTAGTTCAACCGGCAAAACCATATCGGTCAGGCATACCACCTTAGAGTCGCCGCCAAGTTGACGATGATGATCCTCTGAATCAGCGTGTCTCTCCGGCGTCCTCCTCCGCTCCCTAGATCGGACATATCTCGCCGCCTGTTCGTTCGGGATCAGTCAGAAACAACGTTATCGTCTTCATCTTCAACGCCACCGGCCAACAGCATCTTGATGCTTAAGATGATATTGATTAATATGAATCCCTTATTATTACTCACTATTACTCTTCATCTCTCCTTCTTCGGATGCTTCCTGTTTTCTGTAGCTTGGTTTCTATTATACTCTCAAAAACAAGTTTAGGGCTTGAATACACTTTTGCTATAAACCAAGATAAAAAAGACTGGAGGGAATTCAAGGGGTAGAACCATATTTATAAACCCCTACTGAGAAATTCTTTTCCCCAACAGGATATGGATTCTATCCTTATATATTAGGAAATTGATATGGAGGAATCAATATCTTGTCTTGCGCATCCCTTGCGGTCTTGCCTCAGATATTATATATCAAAACAGTTTCCTAATTGGAAGTTTTATTTTGTTAGTATTCTTTGCATGTTTTGTAATTTCTAGTCTACTTCATAACTAATTTACCAAAAATATATACGTTCAGTCAATTCCATATGTCACGGCCGTTTCCCGTTTCTGGGGTCAGCCGGCCTTTCCCACGTTTTTGTGTGGTTTGCTGGTTAGCCGGGCCATTTCCTTAGACGGAACAAGGGACGGGTCGAGCTAGGGCTTGCTGGAATCTCCGGTCAAGCCTAGACAGAATTGGAATTCTCTAGAAGAAGCCAGACGTTGCTAGAAACGTAGGGAAGCTACCCGAGTTTTGCTGGAACGGTCTGGAATGGGATAGGGCTTTCTAGGGACTTATGAAATTCCATGGAATTCCACACTTGGAATACTGTAGTCTTACAATTCTCTAGTTCTGGCTCAAAATAAATGGTATTTGTTGAACTAACTAAATAACATGGTTTGCGGATTGAATTTGAAGGTCAAGTAGTTGTTGACTATGAGTTTCCAGCTGCGTGTGCAAATCCGCAAGCATGGTTTGATATTCTGTCTGTCTCATCACAGCTGCTGATGCCCCGTCTTGAATTGCCTCATCCCGATCTGCCTCCGATTGCGGATTTGGGTGTTTACCCTTGCTATATCCCTTTTCTTGCTCTCAATTCTTCTCTGAATTTGAATGACCTACATTGTATAAATTATTATTTTGCTTGATCAATCTAATTATTAATCCTTCCTGTCAAAATTCATTAAACACAATTTTCGTATTGATTATATACTCATTATATATGTTTGACATGTAAGGAATCCTTAACGGTATTTAAATGAGGACTATGAATTAATAGCAAAAAGATTTTGCAAAAGAGGGAACAAAAAATCAAGAAAACAAAATGCAATATTAAGTGTGATTCGGAAAAATAAAAGGAAAGAAAGGAAGGAAAAATTTTATCGCCCTAGTTCGAACATAGGGCGAGTTGAGTACGAACATAAGCAAACTCGGGCTCGACTCGGCTCGTTTACGGCCCTAGTTCAGATTGTGAGGTATATCTCAGCCTCTATCGGCCTCTTTGTATAACAAAGGAGGAGGGTTAGGGTTTATATCCAAAATGACATTTGAATCACAATCTCGGATGATCAGATAGGATTCTCAAGAATGAAACTACAACGAAGAACATAGATTTTCTTCAAATTCGAAGAGCCAGTTGGTTAAGATGAGATAGGTGATATGGAGATTTGACATTGCAAGATTTAATCGAACTGAGATTTGGATAGTAGAATCCCGCTTGATTCTCTCAATTACCAGGTATAGTTAATTTCTGGCCTCTATTTTCTAGACTTTAAGACAGAAAATGTAGAAAAAAAATGTAGAAAAAAGCCACATAGGAATAGACCTTATGTGGCATGCAATTATAATTAAGGTAAGTCTCTCTCTGCACTTTGCCTTAGTAATATACATAGAAGTTTACTAAAAAATTTTCTTTCTATAACTTTTAAACACATTAAATCAACAACTAGTATTAGAATCCAACTCTATTAACATCACAACATTACAGAGACTAGCCCTTGTAATTTCTAATAACCAAACTTGTGGAAATGCTCCACCAATTCTTGGATATACGATTTTTGGTATCCAAGCAGCCTTATATTGTTTGCCTCTAAGGGTACACAAACTTTAGCCAAATTAATTTCGGTACGGGGGTGTGGGAAAAATGATGAAAATCAGTGTGCATCAATCCACCTGAGCTATAGTAGTTGTGTGTATACAGTACATACTTTCTACCAATTTAGTTTAGGGACATTTATATTCAACATACATTTTGTGTACGTACCAACCCTACACCATTATTGAAAACGCAATCTCAATAATGATATAATCAAAACATGAGATTAAGGGAGACCACTAAACCGTGAATAATATTAATCACGTCATCCAATATTACAATACAAAAAATCATTCTCTCTTGCAATTCATACAATTGAACAAACAAACAAACAAAGGACAATAGCTTAACAAATTAGACCGCGTAATTCCCTTGAGAGAATTGGTACTCGGGATAGAAGTTGGCAACCACCGGAACCGGAAAATCTTGGAACAACCCATAAAAGATCTGTCCATTCAATCCTTCTCGTGCTTTTGTTGTAGTCTCGACGTCTTCATACTCCACAAAAACCCTTCTGACTCCTTCTTTAGCCATAACTTGATTGTCGTAGGGATAACAAACAGGACAGGGAATCACCAGGTTCACCAAATTTCTGAATTCTCCACACTCTTTGATCACTACTTCCATTACATGGTCGTAATCGTCATCATTTTCTAGTTCAACCAGCCAAACCAGCGTGTCTCTTCCTTCAAGAATGTGACCTAGACCGTAACTCCTCCGTCCTCCTCCACTCCCTAGATCGGGATATATCTCGCCGCCTGTTGGTTCGGGGTTGGTCAGAAACAACGTTGTTGTCTTGATCTTCAACGCCGCCGGTCGGCAGAATCTTGATGCTTAAACTGATATTGATTGATATGACTCCCTTATTATTACTCACTATTACTCTTCATCTCTTCTTCTTCAGATGCTTTCTGTTTTTTGTAGCTTGTTTACTATTATACTCTCGGAAACGAGTTTAGGGCTTGAATACACTTTTCCTATAAACCAAGACAAAAAAGACGGGAGGAACTCAAGGGGTAGAGCCATATTCATAAATCCCTACCGAGAAATTCTTTTCCCCAACAGGATTTGGATTCCATCCTTATTAGGAAACTAACCAGGAGGAGTCTTGCCTCATATATTATCAAAATAGTTTCCTAATTGGAAGTTTTCTTTTATTAGTATTCTTTGCCAGTTTTGAAGTTTCTAGTCTACTTTATAATTAATTTACCAAAAATATATATGTTCAGTCAATTCCATATCTTTCTTATGATGCAATGGATTCCATCAAAACTAAAAGCCAGCTCATGATGCAAGAGATAAGGGAACATATTTTACCAAACTAAAAAAAAATGAAAAAATGAAAAAAAGAGCCCATCCTCCTTGTCAGTGATAAGTTCTAGAATTCTTTTTTATATATGAGATGATCTGCCTTAATTAAAATTAAAATAGTAGTTGAAACATAACTAATTAGTTAAGGTCCTCCGACACTGTATATATACGTTTTTTTAATTATAAAAGAAGTTCATGAGATTGCATGAATTTGTTAGTATTTCTATACTGTAGTAACATATTTCAATATTTTTTCAATAATAAACAAATTGAAAGCCGGACAGATAAGCTATGAAAATCCAATCTTTTTTTTTCTTTTTCTTTTTTTGTACTCCAAAACCATGAGCCATGATATGTCGTCTCTTTTAACTATATGCCTAAAAAAATCACTATTTCTTCCTCCAATCCAAGAGTCAAGGAAGTTAGTTTGCATCACATAGAATTTTATCATCAAACTGGTGGTCTAAAAGAAAACATTGAATTAAATAATCCTTCCGAGGGGGACAACTTAAATCCATTCCGGAGCAATCCCAATTACCATGAACCGAATTAACAAAAAATATAAAAAACGGCCAACTACTACATCTTTATTATTTTTTATTATGAAAAAAAAGAAAGTACCATGCGAGCTAAATTGCTTGAATTTATTTTGTAAAAACTAGTTCTGGCTCAAAATAAATGGTATTTGTTGCACTAACTAAATGACATGGTTTGATGATTGAATTTGAAGGTCAACCAGTTGTTGTCTGTGAGTTTCTAGCTGCATGTGCAAATCCGCAAGCATGGTTTGATATTGTCTGTCTCGTCACAGCTGCCGATGCCCTGTCTTGAATCGCCTCATCCCGATCTGCCTCGATATTGCGGATTTGGATGTTCACCCTCGCTATATCCCTTTGCTTGCTCTCAATTCTTCTCTGTAGTTGAATGGCCTCCATTGTGTAAATTATTTTTTTGCTTGATCAATCTATTTATTAATGATTATATATTCATTTGACATGTTTGACATGTAAGGAATCCTTAACGGTATTTAAATGAGGACTATGAATTAATAGCAAAAAGATTTTGCAAAAGGGAACAAAAAATCAAGAAAAAAAAATGCAATTATTAAGTGTGATTTGGAAAAATAAAAGGAAAGAAAGGAAGGAAAAATTTTATACATTTTAAATTTGAAATGTATAGAAGTAGGTAGGAGAGTTGCGTAGTTTGGTAGTGGAGAGGTGCTTAATGACCTTAGTAATTTTGTAGTAGTTAAAGCAGAGGAACACATTGTTGCTATGTATGTTTTAGATTTTCCCATTTACTATAAAATTTATTTATTTTTGTGTAATTACATGGAGCTGATCCTCGAGCTGGTCACCCACTTGGAATCTCAGTTATGCCTGGTTTTTCCATCTCTAGTTTCTCTTTTCTAACAAAGTTTATAAAAGTGCACGAAAGTTTTGGGGGTAATTTCGCTTTCTAGGGTGACAACTGCCCATATTTCTCGAAGATGGTTTTTTCTCAAACC